AAATATATTTAATAAATAAGTAACAAACTGTCACGTTTAGACGTGAATACACGATATTTCAAAATGATGAGACTGAAGCGAGACGTGAAGACGTGATATTTTAAGATGTAACGCACAAAAGCAAAAACAATTGATAATGCCTCATGAAACTACGAAATAAAATTCGAAAAATCATATGTAAAGTGTTTCGAAATATAGAGAAAAATGAATAAACATAGAATATTAATTCGTCTTTAACGAATCTTTGTATATTTACTTTTGTGAATGTGTCTGTGTTTGAATTAAACCTATTAACAAAAATGCAATTACACAGAAACACACAAACACGCATATATATATATGAAAGAAAAAATACAGAAAAAACAAAATTCTGAATATGCATTATTAATGTTAAAATAAAGTCGACGTCGGACGTTTCGGTCTATTTAAGACCATCTTCATGGACATTTTCATTTAAACATAATTAACATTATAACTTATAACAATTTAACACAAAAGACGATGGACATAAGAGCCCAACTAATTCAAACAGATAACTGAAATTTTATACAGATCAGCGTTCTGTTTAAATATGATCACGTAGTCGTCTCGTGGGCGATGTTGTTAAGACGTATTCGAAGATGATTTCCAAAAATTAAAATATCAAAAAGTCGATTGAAAAAATTTTATAAAAAAGTCAAAGAAATCTCTTCCGTTGATGTTTGGAATACGTAGTGAAACAATTGGCTCTCACATCCTCAACAAGCTTGAAAGTCCTTCCCGTTACAATGCAAATCCAAAAATGATTTCAAAAACGATGCAACAGTTCTAAAAAACAGTTCGATAAAAATTCCATTCCTTACTTGATCTATTATTCTCGTCCAAGCTTGAAATCTTCCACGTTATAAAGTAAATTCAGGTTTGTATTTTCAGTAGACAGTATGTAAGCAAGTTATAATGTTAATTATGTTTTAAATGAAAATGTCCATGAAGATGGTTTTAAATAGACCGAAACGTCCGACGTCGACTTTATTTTAACATTAATAATGCATATTCAGAATTTTGTTTTTTCTGTATTTTTCTTTCATACTGTCGGATTTATATCCATATATTTGCTTACATGATTGCGATAAAAGCTGGACTGAAATTGAAAAAGGTATTGAAAAGGTTGTTAGTTTTATGGAAAGAAAACCAGCATTCAGCGATGACGATTGCAATAATGCACGCAGATTATAAAGTGTATTTTGTTTTAAAAAAACCTTCAAAAACAAAAGCAAAACGTAATGCCAAAAAAGTTGAGAATGACATTAGAAGAGAAAGAATCATCATGCAACAGCAATTAAAAAATCCTCGTTACATAATTTGTTTTGCATATGTGGCATACTTCATTTTCTGAATTTTCATTAACATTTCATAATTTATTTCTTTTTCCTTAAAATCAATTCCATTATATTTCACGCACCATGAGCTTATTTTCTTTACTATAAAACATTGAAAATAAATGTTAAACCTGATTTCAGTTCTTTTATTTTAATCTAAATATAACCCCTCATATCCGGACTTTGTAACCAATTCCTCATATCCGGAAAGCCTACTTAGTCCAGTTGTCATGAATTCTACTGTATATAATCACGTCCACACACACACACACACACACACACATACAAACAAACAAACGATATATATTTTTTTGTACGTATAATTTTTTTAATAAAACAGACAAAGCATGATGGGAACATTTTTTAAAATAAACTTTTATAAAATATTCAACCAATACAAGGCCCAAGAGCAACCAAAGAAAGAGCTGAACTAAATTTTGTTTTCTTGGTTTCGAACCAAATGCTTATGCATCAAATAGAAATCCATGAATGAACAGTTCGTAACTGAATAGAAAGAAAAGCTGAGTTCTAGTAAATTCGAGAGTTCTATTTGCCGTCATCTCGAAGATGGTTTACAAATTTGTACATAAAAGATTTTTGTTCCAAAACTTGGATTTCATGAATTAATCAGTTAAAATGTTGTATTACGGTATGTCTTTTATCTCATGTAATGTTTGTTTTAATTTAAACAGTTTCCATTAGATGTAATACCTTAAAAGTTAGATATTTTAATATTGTAAACTCTAAGATCTGACTGCCTGGTGTATTAGGAAAGTATTTGCTGTGGTGATAAATTGTTCTCTGTTGCGAAATATGGCATGTAAGTCGACGTGAAATAGAGGTGGTGATCAGACCAATGTATAAAGTCCTTGAGTAGAAGGTTGGCTATTACAACTGTTATTATCCGGAAGTTCACGTATATATTTAATTTTACCACTTTTCTTCGAGTGCGTATCACATAAGTAATAGGGATTGTTACTTTATTGACTTATGGTTATTTCCATATCTGAGGAAGGAAAGCGGTCTTTTATTATTTGATTAGAGTCGGACAGTTTAAACAGTGTTGAAATCCTTTTTTTCTAGCATGAAGAGTAAACATGAAAAATTGGACATGCTTGTAAAATCTGTATTGTTGTATAAATTAACTGTATATTGAAGTTTTTCTCCTAAAAAAAAGAAGATCGATGGATTTATTTTCCTTGAGTCTTTCAATAAATAACGGAAAATTAGAAACCGAAATCCGAGGTTTCATTGGAATAGCAAAAAATGCCTTTCAAAAGTTAAGCAAAGTATTAAGTAACAAGAAAATTTCGTTTTTAAAAGCTACAAATAAGGAAAACATATCACTAAACTCTTATTTATCATGTGTCCTCATATATGAGCGAAGAATACTGGAATAAAAAGCCGGATTTGACGCAGTAGAGAAGACATTCTACAGAAGGTTGTTTGATTGATTGATTACATTACCACAGGTTATCAACCCTTTGCATGTTACTAATTAACCCATAGCTGGAGGAGAAGTATGGATTCATACTATTCCCAAAGGCATCTACACGTATGTGAATATAGCGAAACCGAGTGGAATCGGATAATGGCTCTCCTATCTCTAATTATGAGCCATTATCCATTAGACTACTTCGCACATTGATGCTTAATACCTGGTACTCCTAAACTGTCACCCATCTAACGACTAACCAGACTCGATGTTGCTTAACTTCTGTGATCGTATGGGAACCGTTTTTTCAACGCCATATTGCCGTAAGCCCTCTACAGAAGGATACTAAGAATACAATGGACTGAACATATGGGATGAGGATGTTTAAAGAATAACTGAAAGAAAAAGAATGCGTATACCTATAATCGGAAAGAGACATTAATTTTCTAGGTCACATAAAGAAGAAAGAGCGCTCGGAAAAATTGACACTCGCAGGATATGCTAGAGGCCCAAGGAACTGAGGGGAAACAGCTAGTAACCTACGCATGAAGTTTGCGTAAATAGATTTTGCCCAGCAGTGTGTGAGATGGCTAATGAAAAGACAAAATTTACTAAGCGCTACGCGGGGTAAGAAATAGAAAATGGCGGAAATCTATGATCGCCTTCGTCCTGAAGTGACAGGGTGTGTAGAAGAAGTTTTCCTGAACATGCACCTTCGACGAACTCTTTGCACTTTCTCTGCACTTAGATAATTATATATTTTAACATTTACGCCATGATTATTGAACTTACTGTTCAATATTTTCGTTGCGTAAACGACAGATAAGGCAATGTTGTTTTTAAAATAAAAATCAAGAATTTGTGGGAATATCTCGTGTTTTTATCCATTTTATCGATTGAAGGAAAGCGAAAAGTTTAAAGGTGCTTTATTTTTAATTTGTTTTTAAGTATTCAATATGTCTTCTTAGTTTGTTATCCTATCTGTTACCGAAATAATCAATATACTGCACAAAGTCTACCCGACCCAGCTTGTTCGGATAACCGACTTTCCACAACATAATACCGGTTATAATTTGAATTGTTGCGGGAAGAAACGAATAATCCTTTATAAAATTCTTCAATTACACTTGTCAACACGATTTTTGCTGCCAAGTTACAAAACCCGTTTGTAATGATTCCTGAAAGTGACCTTAGTTTTTCATGGTTAGCTACCGTTTGTGTTCATTTTTGGAAAACAATCAATTTACGAGCTTTACTGATCGCAGAATTTAGTTAATAAAGATCGTAGAAACCCAACAATTTTCAGGGAGTCTGAGCAATTTATGCCAGTCACCTGGCAAAAAAGAAACCCTAAAATCTTCTTGTGATTACTAGTAAATATCACGGCTGTATTGTGAAATCTCCCAGATTCAGCGCCCTCAAATTAGCTAAAAAAATAATATTTGGTGTCTCAACACTATTTCGAATATATATATATTTTTTTTATGACCAGCATATATTTCGTTATACTAATTTCAACCAAATATAAAGAGTGGGATGTTTACATTCGCTCTATCCCTGATATTGAACACTTTAACACATATCATTTTCGGATATATAATTATATTTGCTCTACTTCTATTGGACACTCTTTTATGAATAATAATTGTCGGTACATATATATATATATATATATATATATATATATATCATCCTTATGTAACAGCGTTTCCCCTAGCGAGGAATGTTTGATTGATTTGAACCTTTTAAAACCCTTTATTCTACATTCAACACCATTACTTGACAAATCACCAGATGTGTCGAAACAAAATGGCCTTTTTGTAGTGATTTTATAACATATTTATGTTATAATTTTCGAATAAATAATTATATATATATATATATATATACAAACAGTACGGAGAGTGAATTCTAGGTTCTACGAAAAACATATATTCAAAATTACTAATTGGTGAGATTTTGTCGAAAGTGAGAAATAGTATGTCTTTGTTAATTAGTGGCTAAAAGAAGTGTGGGGATGATCTAACGTTTTACATAACACGAAATGGATAAATCAAATTCGAACGCCGGGTAAAATACGTTATGTACACAATATACTCAGGCACTGGCGGTGCTATGCCCCCATCGCTGGAATAGTTCCGATCAAGTTTTACTCCCTACTATTCGGCGCATTTAACTCAGTAAAAAATGAGATAGGCAGCGCCAAATAACGCACATTCCCCAGAGAAATAAAACGCATTCCTGAAATGCAACACGACTGTTTATTCCTAAGAAAATTCGTTTTCCAATGTCTATATGTGGAGCTGTTTCTCTTTCTAAGTTTGTCAAACGAATGTGTCATAAATAATGATATTGAATTGTCAGTATTTGTGTGCATTAATGAAAAATAATACACTAAGTATTTATTATTATTATTCAGTTTATAATACATTTAAATATGAAAGAATCTCTATTTACATCATTCCAACTATTGTCCTCATCTTTATTGTCATATTTACTACAACGTTTTGGCCGTTGTACGCTCCGGCCTTCTTTAGGTGGTTGGAATGCCGAACTGAACCCTTTATTTCGCTCACTGGGGTAGAGTCTTCTAGTTCCACGTGCCAGTCTACCCTAGTGAGCGAAATAAAGGGTTCAGTTCGACATTCAAACCATCTGAAGAAGGCCGGAGCGTACAACGGCCGAAACGTTGTAATAAATATGACAATAAAGATGAGGACAATAGTCCGTATAGTGTAAATAGAGTACATAATACCTCATCCCAGATATTATAGAGATACTAAAGAATCCCTATTTATTATATTTTCAACAGGACTGTCTCATTTGTCATATATATAATAGCTAGCCACTTGTATTCGGGGACACCCGTCTACAATGGCTTTTAGCCAATCCTTCTTATATGGTTTATACTGTAACTATGCTGAGCAGACCTTAGTCACAGTTTCTGGGAATGAGCGTATTTATCTAGGGTGATCAACAATGTGAACAAGGGAAACAGGCTCAATCTTTCGGTCACGATGACTTGTGACTTCGTGCTAGCGCAGCTATCTACGGCCACAAAGCGTTCCGTTCTATCCCCTTTTACTCAAAACGATTTGGTCAACCCGTGGTTTTCAGGCAATTTCCAAATGTGCCACACGCTTGGATAGACCCCTCCAGTTCATTAACATCACGAAGTCTCCTTTTCAATGGTGAGATTCTTTGGGTCTCTCAGAAGAATGGGTAAGAATGAGAACGTTCTAACCAATCGGTCACGTGCCCCATATATATATATATATATATATATATATATATATATATATATATATATATATATATATATATATACACCTAGTGAGCCAGACAAACCTACCTAGGTTTCACCTAAACGGATCGTCGTTTGTAGCTCTTTCTTTTTGTAAAACCTTATTTTCCCTTGAGATTGATTTGATTAGCAAATCAAAAATTCGAGGGTTTTTCGAAACGAGTCTAGTTATCTATATTTATATGTATATATATATATATATATATAGATATTCATTATATATATATATATATATATATATATATATATATTAATGAATATCAAACACTTAATATAGCATAGTTTAATAATCTTTAGTTAATTAAATCTATAAAAAATAGCCCTCAATCTTTCAGACCTGTCAACCAAATATAAACGGAATATATATATATATATATATATATATATATTGATAATATTAGTGTAAAATATACATACATATGAAAAATATATCTAAAAAAATTTCCATACATGTATATTTTCAGAAAAAAATTTTTCCAAGAGGAAGGATCCAGGTAGAACTCAATGTCTAGGACAGTAAGGATATAATAAAAAGGCTTAAACACTAATATTCCCATGGTCATAATTTATTCCATTGGAATCGTAAATACGATCAAATCATCAGACCTACAAATTCAAATTCAAAATTCTGATGAATTTGTATTTAGGTCCAATGGAATAAATTGATGTTGGAAATTAGTGTTTATATATTTTTATATATATATATATATATATATATATATATATATATATATATATATATATATATATATATATATATATACAGAGGAGAGGAGAAAGAAAGAGATAGATAAGTTCATGGTTGTCGTTGAGGTGTTAGTAAATATTGCAAAGATTTTATTCATCATTCTTTTCCTCTAAGGCCTTACTTATGATTTACAATTTAGACAGCCACCCCTGAAATATTGTGGCCACACACGCTTAGTAAATTGGTTCGATTTTCAGTGTTTCATGTTCCAGTCTAATTAAAGATCGTATTTCGAATTCAGCTTTAGAAGTTAGCATGCCGTTCCCTTTAGGAGGTTGGAGCAAGACAATCTTCCCCATCCTCATTTTCTTCTCATTTTCAATTTTGCCAAACACAGATAAGATTAGTCGACATCTTAAACATATACCAAGAAATCTAAACGATTCAGCTGTTGAGAAATTACTTATGCTTTCTCCACATATCAAATATTTTACTTATTTATGACATTTTTATTTCCTGTTCTTTGTTTTTTATTCCCTTTAAATATTAGCCTGACATCTGTATCCCCCACACCAGCATCCTAGAGTGTCACACGCACTATTTATTTCCTTAAATGTAAATATTCATTTTTTATCAGAGATCGCTGTCCAAGATTTCAAACAAGATTTTTGACACTTAAAAAGAGAAAATAAAATATTTATGTCTTAAACTGAATTTTTAAAAAAGCGATAACATTTTATATAATCTTAAACTTATATTTTTCATTTTTTTAGTATTTTTGTTTTATTTAAAGTCATAAATGCGTATATTGCATCATCTTTCACAATTTATATTAACATACGATTATATAAATTTATATTAGTTTTTCATATGTATAGACTGTTTAAACAAATATATGAAACGAGATTTTAAAGACGGTGTACCAGATGATTGAAGATATAAGTGCTATGGGGATTTAATTGCTTTTATTTTCATCTACAACAGAATGTTATGCAAGACAAAGAATTGTTCTTCAGGAAATTTTTCTCATATCTTTTAACGGTTAGCGGAGCAGGAAGTGGAATAGGCAAGCCGAGTTCAAATTCTAGCCTAGTATTTCTCATAAATGCTCTTGTATCTTCGTCCTGGATGAGACGATAAACTACATCCGCGTCCTGGGTAAGACGATAAACTACGCCCAATAGCAAGGGCTCTGATCAGGAGGTTTTGAACAGCGTGGCACCACCTCTTAACTGCTGGTGTTCCCAGGTTCACCCTGACCCGAGGTGGTAGCACCTGTTAGGTTCCCCGCTATGGTCAAATAGTTAACACCTCAGATTGTGTAAAAATAGGTTT